ATATAAAATTATATAGAATTTTATATAATTACAATATATATAAAATATTTTTTCCCAAAGTTATATTTCGCTTTTTTATATTAAAATATATTTAATAATATACATAAAATGTATGTTAATCTGTGCTGAGAGTACAATAGCATTAAAATTTTAATTAATTATATATGTAGAGTCTCTCTGATATAATAATTGTTGATATTTTGTATATATATAATCGTTAACATTATTATAATTTCTAACAAGTTTATTAATAATTAAAAGACCTAATTTTATCACTATTATTACTCTAAGAACTTTTATTTATCTCAATATTCTATTCTATAAAATATTAAGGAGGTTGTAAAGCAAATGTAATATGTTAAGAATTACTTGAAAAAAACTTACAGATTATTCTAAATTGTGCATTTAAAAGTAATACAAAAAAATGAGAGACAGTTGATCATCTGGATCAAAAATTATTTCAATAAAAAATAATATTTTTTAAATTCTAATAGAAATATATGAAAATGTTTTATAAAGTAATGATAAAAATCTCAATTTGTTTATAAGTACTTTATGAATTCAAAAATATTTATGTAAAGTTACATTGAGACACAGACATTAATTGTTCAGTAAATAAACAAAATATTTATTTGTTATAAATTAATTAGTGAATCTCAATAAAACTTTGCACAAGTCATTTTTAGTACTTAAAATATTTATATAAAAAAATTTAGATTTTTGTTATTATTAAAAAAATTTTTGTTTATAACAATAAAACTAATATCAAATAAAATAAATAATCTATAAAAATGTGTTGCTCAATAAAAACAGAATGTTATGAACACAACTTTCACATGTATGTAGTTTGTTTAAAGCGTAAATATTAATATATGTGTTTTATGTCCTTACAATCTCCTTAAATACAAATCTGCAGAAGAGACAGTTGAAAAATTATATCACAATAACACGGAGGAGAGAAAGAGAGAGAAAGTGAGTAGAGCATATAATGAAAGATAAAGATGACGAAACCCACACCACGCCGTTCGAACACGCGCGTTCTCGAGCTCGCGTAACCTCCTGCCGTCATGCGATCCTGTTCAGATATATTTTCTTGCAAATACCCAGCTACCTTATCTGTTAACAATGGCAAATTTTATACACGTGAAATGGATGCTATGGACGGGCGAGTTCACTGCGCAGTGTGCTAGACCATCTCGGTACCGAGGTCATTTCCGCAGCTGGCCTCTTAGTTCCGAAAACGTACGCTACGTGGAGCGCATTCGATCGACTTTCTCGTCATTGAAAATGCTTCACCGCCTCTATAATACACATTCAGGATGGAGCGTTTGTTAGCTTTGCGCAGTGGCGATATCGTAACCAATGAGGTTCTACCGAGGTGCGATTATTGCTAGTTGAAAACTTTTACCAATACCCCGCCATGACGATGTGAAATACCATCGGCTACGGCAATTTTTGAAAGTTTCTGCGGAAACTGATGATCGAATTCTCAAACATAAAATATCCCTAAAAGTAGAGGAGATTTTATCTCTTTTTTGCTATCAAAATTCAATCTTTTTTTTATCAAATTTTATTTGATATTCGGGAGGGAGAGAACTTTAAGACGCATACTCACCTACATAACATACCCTAATTTTATTTATGCTATTTTTACATGTATAATCCGTTACATATTTTTCTCAGATATTTTATGATAAATCGTTTAAATGAGAGTTCGTTGAATATCACATTAAGTAAAATAAAATATGAAACAAAATAGAAACATAAATTAATTTAATAATAATTTAAAGAGAGCTACATTCTTTATAAATATAAATAAAATTAAATTTTCTTCATTTAAGTTTTAATAAAAATATCTCCATATTAATATCTTTATTAACTGCATTATTACGAAAGAACTGAGAATACATTGATATAACGTTCCAATATAAATTTAACGTTACAACATAGTAATAATAAATTAATTTTATATATAAAATTAGTAATAAATTAATAATAATATTAACAATTTTTTAAATTATATATTAGAGTTAACTTCGGAATACAGACTTGCGGTTTACTTAAGAAATTGTTTCATATTGAGAATGACCCAATAACGGGTCGAAACTGTTTGTGTGTTTTTAAATATTAAATGTAAATGTGTAGTAAGCAACGAACACCTAGCTTGACTCTTAGCTCCTTTATTAATTATTTGTTAATAAATATTAAACAACTATTTTTATCCCGATACTTAAGTAAATATGAATATTTATTATTTTAGTTCTATTTTTAGTAACAAAAGATAAAATTATAATAATAATATCATTATCGTAAATAAATAATTTGCGCTTTTGTAGGAGAAACGTAATAAATATGAAGTCTTTCTTTCTACTAAAAATATCATTAAAATAAAAGTGTATTTTCCCATTAACATTATGTATAAAAAAATATGAAATAAATTATATTTATCTTTTTTATCTCGAGATGTTATCAAATGTCATAAAGCCATTATTTCTCTAGCTAAGTTCTTTTTAAATTTAAACGAATTAAATAACATGTGTCAGTTTGAAATAGATATTATAGAACTAATAAAAAATTTCAATATACAGCATATTCCTTTTTAAAAATAAATATATAACTTTCTAATCATAAATTTCTTTCTAATTGCAGGTTGCTGGCAAGCGCGAAGCAAGCCAGGAAGCTGAAGCCCAACAATGGATGGAGACTGTAATCGGTCGAAGATTTCCACCAGGTGAGTCTTTGTATATAATAGTTTAATTAATATAATATTTTATTTTAATTCACACAGAAATGTTCGTTCAATTTGCACGTCGTATTTATACACTGCTGTTTATAAATTTTTAAAGAAGCAAACAAATACATAAATTATTATTATTGGCATTATTATTCTCTAATTATTATTTTTCGTATTTCACGAATTAACAACATGACTCTTAAGATTTATTTATTATGAATGTATTATTTATTATAAATTCGATGTAATATAGTCTTATAATTATATTTATGTAAATAAGTAATAAGTTATTGAATAATAATCAAAAAGTTGTTTATTACTTTTTTCGGAATATTATAAAAAACAAACGGCGCTTTTATAGAATAATTTTTTTAAATATACTTTAACGCGCTTTTTTTTTTACTAAAAGTTAATATAGTTACTAAAAGTGAAAAAGAATTTACTAAAAGTGAATATAGTTGACAGTTTTATATAAAGGCCTTGCATTTATATATAATAGCTCTATAAACGCATATGAACTCCTGTTCCGTGTAGGTGACGCGAATCCGAAAGCCTTTCGATGTTTTCATCCCCGTCGGGACGATTTAACTAAAAGGGTGGAAGCGTATACCGTTATCTAACTAGAATCACATAATTGCCGGATACAAATGTCAGGTCGCGTGACGTCGCAAAGGTTAAGCTTCGTCGAGGTCAGTTCCCCCGTATAGTATACCCGTCGTGTGATCGAAAATGCAACCGGCGACGAAGGTACTGCCCGCTGCAGCACGATATTGATTTCGAATGTTTGGCGGTACAACCTTGGCGGTACTAACTGATGCAAAACGTGCCATAATACAATAGTATATGAGCGTTCAAACTCGCGTGTTACGTCACCATTGTCATAAGTTCTTAAAATCGTCAAAATCGTCTTTGAAAACGTATAGAGATAAATACAAACGTGTAAATGTAATTTGCATGTAAAAATCAATAATGTTTCGTTGATATTCGTGTTCGAAAAAAAGGTGTCTGTATTTTTAATTACAGCAAGGTATTTGTCACTTTTCATTTGTGTTTATGAATTTCCTTTTTAATTCGTTAACGCTTGTTGACAAGTATACGTGCAACGATCGAGCCTTCATGAATTGTTACTCATTGATTTGAATAAAAATTCAGCATGATTATGGACCTACATAAACATACATGTATATAGGAATTGTGTAAACAATTTTTGCGAGATTACTGAACTCTGGCCGAACTGCGCTAGGGGTAGTTTCACTCTCCTGTTGCGTTATACTCGCCTGGCAAAACGCGCGCTTTGTTACGTCATTGCGAACCACCCTTATCGACCATACCTCGGTAGACAACCCTCGATTCGACATACATCCCTGTTGCGACAAACACGCCAGGCGTCGACGCAATCGGGATGATTATTTCACGTACGTTTGCGCGGCGCCCGCAAATAAATTTTACTCTTTTCACTAGTTTCTCACTTACGAGTAGTCTGTATTAAGATGGATGCAATTTGATAAGCGAACCAAAGGTTATACATTGCAAAATTATATGAAAAATCAATATCTTAATCATCATATCGTTCTTCACAACACTATATTATATTCGAAAGTAATAGTTATAATTAATAATCCCTAAGTGACGTGTTATATAATCTCGAAACCTATAATAGTAAAATTATGTAATATAAATGAAATAAATATATAAGTGAATATAATTAAAATAAAACGTTATATGAGAGAGAAAAGGAAAAAACGGGAAAGAAAGAGAGAAAAGAGAGAATTTTTCTTTATGTTTATTAAAAAAACTTTTTGTTTGTTAAATTGATCATTGTTTTATAATTTGTAGTATATAAACAGCATAAAATATTATTCATTATACATTTATATTTATTATATGTATATTATACATATATATGCATACTGCATTTCGTAAAAAGATTCATAATTTGTTACTACATATAATGTTTGTCTCTCTTTTAAAAACGTATGTTAGGTATATAATCTCTCTGTAAAAAGTGACTGCAGTTGAAAATATATTAAAAATAAACATATATAATATTATATAAGTAAATATTATATACGAAACAGTTCAATTAGGTTAGTATTTATATTTAACAATACAATTTTATAATATTAAAACTAAAACGATGTCTACAAGCCAAGCTGGATCTTAGTGCTAGATTAACTACAATAACATAAGTTTATTAATAAACGTTTCGACCCCTATTGGGTCATTCTCAATGTTAAAAATACAAATTGAACTCAACGACTCATTTGAAAAATAATCACTTGCTAATACATATAATGATTTAGATGGTAATATAATATAAATTCAACATCTGTATGTAAAATTTCGTTATGGATGGTCGTGAGCATTATTTAATATATAAACCTAAAGAGATAGATGATAAATATTCGGATAAATTGTAGATATGTTACAACGCATGGTGGTCATCAAACGATCTTATACAGTGACCTTAAAAACGCAATCGCAACCGTTCTGACTTGTACTCTCAAACCGACAAATGAACCAACTCTAATATTGTCTAAAACGTAATTAACAAACAATTGTATAATAATTTGCAAAAATAAAAGCAAGTTGCAAGCTATCAAATTTCTCAACTCATACACAAAATTTCCATTATGATGATACGGTTATATAAATAAAATAGAAAAGTGTGTGTCTAATGATAAAACAATAGTGAAAAAATACATGAATAAAATTAAATGTATATATAAAATTAATTGTATATATATACCAGATGTCTTAGGATAAAAATTTATACAAAGATTAAAATACAAATAGGGGGGACAAGCAAAAGTAAAAGAATATAATAAATAAAAAGTACCTGTTAGCTGGTAGTGCAATGTCTAAGAGTAACGTTATTAAAATACAGAACAATTGAGATATTGAGATCTTGAGATCCGGAACTCATCTCAACGGCAAAGACAAATCTAATCTGATACTTTGTGACAGTTAGAGGTAAGAGAGTGAGAACAAGTGGTAGGGAAAGAATAAAAGGAGGAGGTATCTAGGAGATGTTAGGTAGGGAAAAGCGATTTGAGTATAGGAAGATAACTGTCTGATAGAGATTCGGTATCGGTTTGCCTGTTTAAACTTTGACATTGTTTTTTTATATGCACCATTTCAGATATTAACCTCTTATTATACGATGGTTCAATATCTAATATTTTTACATCCTTACAATTAAAATTATAATTGAACTTAATGCGATGGTCTGAAATGATGGAAGGAGATCCTGTTTTTTGTTAATATCAGAAGAGTGCACTCCTACACTCTTGTGTGTAACAATACAAAATTTTAAATACAATTTTAAATGTAAATAAAAACGTTATCATTTTATCTTAATTACTTTTTAAAAACATCTTATTATTTTTTGAAAACTTTTTATTAAAATAATTTTCAATCCAGATTCTAAATCACTGTCAAACTTTTTGTGTTATTTGCAATACAATATAAAAAATCCGTAATTTTTTTCATAATTTTTTATTTTGTTAAATACGTGCAATACATTCTTAAACTCAAGAAGGGTTATTGAATAATGAATTTAGTAATATCACGTTTCCGACGTATTCAAATAAGCGCGAATCGAGAGAGACAGAGGGATTCTTTGTGACAAGCTCAATAAATTTCTCATTGCTCCTAAGCTATCGCAAGAGCTCGTCATCGACCGGCTATCCCGCAATCGCAAACGCAGATTCGTTTCCATCACGTTCGCCAAAATCTTTGGGCGGACAGGAATTTAAGATGTATCCGATAATGCTGATTATGTCGAGTGTTTAGATTTAACGAGCCTCCACCTATGACTGTCATCCTGGTTGTGCTGAGGACGCGGTGGAGGTGGCCAAACGACGAAACCACCCCCACTCGGGTACATGATTAATCCCCACTGGGAACCTTCAGTACTTAGTCCATAAGTGGGGGTCTCCTCGGCCCGCAAGAAAGCTCTCTTGAACGAGTGGCAGCCTGATGTTCGTGAACCTTGAGCTACCTGTCGGAAACACACGGGACTGACAATGAGTGTAAAAAAAAGAAATCCAATCCGGTTTCCAGATTGATATCTATCACAATACAGACAATTTTGCGATACAATTAATTTTCCGTGACAGTACATAAACACGGAGAGAATTTTCTCTTGGAATTTACCCTGAAAATCGTGGTAATCGTGGGATAACATAATATTTCAAAAAATTTTATGTCACTCTTTCCGATTTATTATTAATTTCACAATAAAATATATTATTTAAGATGTATTTATTTTATTTAAAAACATAATAAAATTTCAGTAATTAAAAAAATGTTAAACCGTTTATGATTTTTTATTGTTTCAAATAGAATAGATGCCAAATAGTAATAAACATGTAAAAAATATCATATACAAACTTTACAGTACAGCATGATACATTCAATCTGGCTTGGTCGCTTATGATAATTTTACCATGCAGTATAATAATTAATTAGCTATGTTCGATGATATTTTTATAATATCTTTATTAAAATACCACTAAAGTCCGCTCATTAGTAAACGGTATCGCCGATATATGGATGCGGTGGCGTACAATTTTTTGTGTTTAAAAAACCACCAAAAATAGAATAAGGCCCGATTGCATCAACGTTACTTTGATTTTTAGCGAGGCTTAAAACTTTCTTTGTCTCTGTTTCTTTTTCGGCTTTAAAACGAGACAGATAGTTTTAAATCTCACTTAAAATCAAAATAACGTTGGTGCAACCAGGCCTAAAAGACACAGCATTACGAGGTCATTCATTAATCCTAAAATTCGGTACGATGACGGAATATAACTACACAGTAAAAAAGAAAATGTTAATTTTAACATTTTTTACATATGTCCCAGGAGATCCACTCTAAATTTAAAGTTAAAGTAACTCATTCGTCTTGTGTTATTTATTAATGAATCACTAATAATGTTAAATAATTGACACAATGCTTTACATTTATATTTGTTATTTTGACTTTAAGGGTGATT